GTCCGCCATTCATCAGCACCCATGTATTTAACAACACAACAGTACTGGTGTGAGAGGTTCTCTGCTCAATAATATCAGAGAAGGGGAAACAGCTGGCTGCTACGATTTCAACATCAGGCCAAACCACTAGAATCCCAAAAAGAAAAACACCCTTTCAAGGCTCAGACAACAAACGATGTTTGGACCTTAAAAAGGTGGGACTAGTGTTTGGATCTACCTTGTTTCGTTTGACATTGTACATTTCCGGTTCCGGCAGAAAAACATAGAAGATACCCGAGGAGAGAGGTGAGTGTTCTGTGATTTAGTTTGCATTCAGAACCTCGCTTGTTTACAGATTTGTTAAAACAGCTTTAATCTACATTAACCAGGAAAAAATCTAATATTGATATTGAAATACATAAAATAAAATAATACACAAAAAAAGCTCCTGAAAAGCTTTAATGTTTCACAAACGGCTGTAGCTCCAGGCCTTAAATTGGTTGGTTGTGCAGTTAAAAGCAAACAAAAATATAAAAACGGTGTCACATAACTACATTACTTTACCTACCACTGGATATAAATATGTTACAACTTACCCTCTGCACACAGGCACTCATACAGGCCAATGCCATCCACGCAAATGCCACCATTCTGACATGGTTTGGACTCGCAGTCATTGATATTTACTTCACAAAATGACCCCTCAAACCCTGCAGCCAAAGAAAGACAGAAAAGGGGGGTGGAGAACTTTTATTGCAGTTCTTTTTGCCTGGTTTAATTACTCCGCCAATTAGCATCAGCATGACTTTGTTTTCACAAACAAAAGCTGGTTTCCAAAAGCTTGTATTGATTCAAAGGAGCTTGCTGAGAACGGCCGGACTCAGCTCACTGGATCATTTAATCATGTTTGATAAGCACCCATCATTGCCCCTCTGATTTATTGTATTAAACAGGCCAAAATCCCTCTTTGAAATCAACGTCGGTCCATATACAGACAGACCTGCAGACGGATCAAACAAATAACATGCACCAGCACACACGCAGTCACACACCGTCTTTATTGTTGGTGCTAAACCAGCTGAATGCAAGTTTAACCTCAAACTTATGTAAACACAAAATAAAGGTTTCACACAGTCAGCCGAGATATAAGACGGCACAAGTTTCAGGAAATATTTTCCATTCGTAGATATGTGGTGGGAGCGTAAAAAAAATATTAAAAAGGCACTGTCGCAGCATCTGCTTTCCTGCAGAATAAGCAGTTTCCTGCAAAATAACATCAACATTATACAAAAACAGAAGCCAAACAAAAACAACTGCTGCACTGCAAAAAGAGAGAAAAAAACTGTGCAACGATAAAACCGCCTCATGCCAACAGAGCTGAACTTATTTTATGGCAAAAAGAACTTCTTCCACTGAAAAGCTGCTCCTTTGAAACAAAACATTAAAGAAAAATCCTCCTCTTTAGTCTGAAAACAATACACTCTTAGAGACCTACAGAGCTATATCTATATATTACACCATTCAGCAGCAGCTACAATTGAACGAGAATTGTGCAAAATCATGATACATTTTGTGATATGTGTGCAAATGGTTTGCAAAGTAAGAGAGGGTGTGAGCAACATTTTGCATCACCCTAGGCTGGCAAGGATTACAGGATATAATCTGCACGCCAGGACTGCTGACATGAAACATCTAAACAGAACAGCGAGTCAAAGTTTACCCTTGAGGAGTGATCTGCAGATAGCAGCATGCTGCAGGTTGCTCTCATTTACATAAAAAAAAATCACTCACGATCCTTCATTTTGACGTCTGTCGAGCATAAACGCAACACAAGTAATGCTGTTACAGTTATCGCTTGCAATGCATGAACTTTCCAAGTGGTGGCAGGTGCAGAGAAGTGCAGACTGAATTATGCTCAGCTTAGCAGGCTAAATATTTTTATAGTTCCGGTTCTCTGACGGATTCCAGGAAGAGTCCTTGTGCACATTCACAGAGTTTGGTAGTGAAACTCGGTCACCTACAGTATCTAGAACTGTTTATCACAAAGCGGGAACGCTTCTTGCAAGCGTCACAGTACTTAACAGGTCAAGCCACTTACTCCTGACCGATCTCTGATAACACCGTCATCCTGGGTGACAGAAAACAAAAGAGTCTGACTGACATCCTACAAGGTTTGTGGAGAAGCTGTCTGGTCTGTTGGTGCACCTGGGAAAAGGGTTACTAAGTAGTAACAGGAGACAGTTTACACAGCTGAAGTAACTCAAGAAAATCCAGAGCAGTTTTGATCTAAAAGGTACAAAAAGGTGAGCTGCAGACAGATAAATATTGCCTCGGGCTCCGGTTTTTACTGTACATCACCTTATCTCTCCAGCACAGGCAACTCATCTTTGTCAAGTTATAGGACGTGAGAAAGGCACTCATTCCCCCTCTCACCCCCACCCCCTTAGAAGGTCCTGCTCACCTGCTTCACACATGCAAGAGACACTCTGTCCATCCTTGGCCTCTGTGCATATTAATGTATGTTCACTGCACAGTCCAAATGAGCAAAGATCGATATCCAGAGAGCAGTCTTTCCCCTTGAATCCTGCAAAAAACAACAACACGAGAAGGAGTCAACAAAAATTCAGACCCTAGGAACAAAGCCAAGAGGAGTGAGTTAACAAAACACATATTGCAGCACATCTTCACTGCCAGGCGGTTCTATCTTTCCTCAGCAGATTAACTGTATCGACTCTTGCCTTTACGATCCAGCTGCTTTGCAGTATGCTAATTGCGTAAATCATTGACAGCGGCTCCCCACAGCCGACTGATCCATATCACATTTATCTGGCACACAACCTGCATGTCTGCATGTCACCAACAGGACCCACACGTCAATATCTAGTGTGTTAAATAAAGAGCAGACGAATGGGATGATTGATCCTCATTCTAATCTGAACAGACTCATTTGCTTGGATTAGGCTTTTTTCTTTTAAACCAACATCACATCTGGTCAAAGTAGAATAAAAACAATTTGAACTACTATTTCACATTTTCAGTATTAGTATACACTTCTTTAATCGTTTTCATTAATGTATGGAGACATCTTATCAATCAATCATTTGCACATAAAAGTGATGCTTCTGCCAACAGTAATTGGACACATCCCTGAAATAAGTTTAAAGAAACATCAGAGTCCCTTAGAGGAAAACGAAATCAATCATTAAAAAGTGGGGAGAAAGAAATGGGATTTAATTGGTAGCTAACGCTGAAGTGGACTTATTCTGGCTCCAGGTGAGGGGGATGACATGCAACAAGCAAACCAGATCCAAATAAATGCTTCCTCAAGTATGTGCGGACACGCCCATTGTTCGGATTTCATTGTAAAACAATCTGTGGATGCCAAGCGAAACGACAGACTATTATCGCTAATATGACAGGAAAATGTGTGTTAGTTCAGTGTAAAGCAGACTTATACAAAGACTTATTGATTAACAGCAGGGAAATAACTAAAACATGCTGCTCTGAGGGCAGAGACATACGCCGAGGTTGGGGCGTGAATAAATACGAAGGCTAGACTATCCAACTTCACAGCTGCTTACCTATCTATGGCTTTAACAGTCGGGGAAGGGCCTGACCTACGTGGACCGGTGAGGACGGGTCCTCACAAGAATATTACCCTGAACTTGGACACAGTTCATGTTTAAACACATAAAGCTAACATTAACAATTATGTTTCACTGCTACAGGCACAGGCTTATGCAATATTTAAACAAGATTCCACCTCATTGGTAAACAGCCGTTACTCGCATGCATTAAACATCTGTGAGGTTAACACAAAAAACTCCCATGCATTTATGTGGACACACATAAAACAAGTTATGATAGATTATGTGTTTTTTTTAGCTGAATTTAGACTTGGCTCTTAGTGTCCTGTAATCCGAGTCCAAAGCAGCTCACTTTCCATCACTACCTTTATCTAGGTGTTAGATGACCTTCCGATTACCCTTTTCCCATCACATAATGCATTGCCTTGACTAGTTAATGGACAGCTATTGCCTCCAACAAAGTGTTTCAGAAGTGTTTAATAACCAATTGTGCATGCAATTCACTTTGAGGTTAATGTTGCATGAAGGAATGTCACATTTGCAGTGTCACCATCTTCAAATGGGACTCCCCTTTTCCTGCCGGACAGCTGTTTGTGATTTAGTTCAGCAGAGAAGAAAATCCAGACAAAGGGGTTCACTTTTCCTTCATTCTCCTGAAATCCTCAAAAAATAGGAAGTTTGGTTCTGTACTATGACATAAATCCCTCTTGTATGATTCTGAAACCTGGATTTAACAGGCTCACTTCATTGCCTCCATCAAACAAGCTGCTGCTTCAGGTTTTTATTCACTGTGCCTGTCTGTTAGCAATGTAAAAAATAAGTTTAACATTTACTTTTCTGAAAAACGCGTTCGAGTTCATGTTCATTGCACTCAGATTATTACTAATCCTTCTGTGTTTATTCTCATCTTTGCTGAATCCGAAGCTTAAATTGTTGAGATGAGACGGTTGATTAAATTACACAAAAGCAATCTAACAAAGAGTGATTCTGAATTCTCTTCTGTATCTAATGCATATCTGATTTTGAAGTTATATGCAAAATTAGCTGGCAAGCATGTTCTAAGTCTGGCTGCAGAATGTAGTCATGGGAAGTAGCACAAGATCCTTCACCCTTCAGTGATGATACTGACACAGTTGTTCCAGGATTTGTGGAATTCCCCAACAACTATCGCTGCCATCTCATAACAAGCACATCTGTCAACCAGAATGTGTTCTGATGCGGATCCAGATGCAAATGTAACGTTTTGTTTTGGTAAGAAAAAAAACTAAAACTCAAAAAATTAATAAAAAAAAAATCAGTCAGCATTGTTACGGATCCTGGGCTCCCGCACCCTGAATGCTCCCTTCTCCTGTTCAGGACCTTGGACAGGTCCTCCGCCAGGCTGGCTTCCACCTCAGCCCGCCTTCAGCCCCCCAGCTGAAAGCCATCAGCTGATGGCTTAAGAGACTGCAGCTCTCAGTTCTCTGGGAGAGAACCACAGCATAACCCCCTGTTCTTCTCTCCTCGGTCCTTGGATCATTTGTAGCAAACAGTTTTCGATTCGGATAAGAACTTAGATAATTTCAGTGACTAAGATAGATAGTTCTTTTGGTAAATCCTTTGGTTGCTAATAGCCGTTTTCATTTATTGATCCATTTGTCTTCTCTTTAGCTTGAATTTCAGTTCCCTTTTCAGCTTTAGAGCTCGCTTTAAGTTTAGTATTTAGTAGAGATGAGCGAGTACACCATCTGTATCTCTGTGTACTCGGAATGGGCGCGGCATAACCCGGAAGTGTGCGTGGTTTAACCAGAAGTGGGTGTGGTTTACATCAATACATTATTTTAAGTCTGACATTGATATGGAATGATCAGAAGTTGATATGTGTATTGTTTATTTGAAAACTATTTACAGAGCAGCCTCAGAATTTAGATTAAATATTTTTGATCACAATAGTAAAGAAACTATTACAGAACAAGTGTTTAAATAAAATCAGAACATTAATATTTAAGTGCATGGATTAATACATCTGAACTCATGCAGTAGGAACTAGGAAACATGAAATGCTAGAACCAGACACAACTTTATATATATTTTTTTCATTTTAATTTGATTAAACTGATTTTTTTCTTAACGTTCTTGGCATTTTGCCCCACACAACGTTAAACAAAGCAATGTTGATGAAGGTGTGTGTGTCTGAGAGAGATAGAGAGAGTGAGAGGGAGAGAGACGGAGTTAAACAAAATAAAAAACCCGACCGGAGCGGAGGTAGTGAGTTAATGCAGCACGTCAGCTCTGTCCTGTCAAATGCACCATGTACAGTAAGTTACGAAAAAGTAACTTTACATATTCAACCGAAAAAGAGGTGAGCTGAAGAAAACCTAGGGAAAACTGAAGAAACGTGAGCAACAGTGAAGCAATCACAGCGAGATCCGTTACTGTCTGTGTGTGTGCGTGGATGAGCCGGACGGACTGCTCTCCCGGCCGGCCAGAGTGTTTTGTGTGTAGGGAGGGGCGGGCGCTCCATGTGACTGGCCAATCACAGAGCGGGAAGACAGTCAGTTATCCAATGAGGATTTTCCTTCAGCACGATTACAGATATTTCCGAGGTTTACTCGTCTCATGCTCGTATTCGTCAAAAATGCTTTATTCGTACCGGATACTCGTCTGAAACGAGTATCCGACTCATCCCTAATATAGAGTGTATTTTTCGTTTAGTCATTATTTCAGTCAAGGACTGAGTATTTTTGTTCACTCTCTGTTAATAAAATACATTTTATTTACACTCCCCCTTTCTCCGCACCAGTTGTTACCCCTCCACCACAACTGACTAACATTCAAGGGTTTGTCACAAGCATCATGCTGAAAATCTTATTTTTAAACTATATTATTCCTGATGTGTGTGTGCGTGTTTGTGATTTTTAGAGAGGCATGTAAACCTGGCAGACCATTTATCTAATGGGATTTGTGAAAGGACAAAGGAGATCAAAAACACCTGTTCATAAATCTGTCAGTGAAATTAAAGCAGTAATGGAAGCTTTCCTCACACATTGGTGTTCTGGTTCTGCCAAAATCTAATTTGAGCAAGAAGCAGGCAAAAAACATACCAGACTAAAAGCAAATATATTAACTGGAAATTATTTATGTGTCCATAATGTCATAAAAACACAATATTAACAGAAGCCTGTAAAAGTGCATTGTTAGTAAATTAAATGTAAACGTAAAGTTTAAGAATAAATCTTTTTAGACAAATTAGTCCAGTTTCCACTATTGTAACTTTCAGCTAATTTTACCAGAGCTTCACGGTATGGACGTGTCTACAGTTCACCGAGTCAGCCCAAAATGAATTTTGATTTACTCATACTGATCAGTTGCATAGGGGTCAGTGCAATTAAATGTGCATCAAAGTCAGTCTAAGTCAGCAATAAACTAGGAGCCTTTATCCTTGTTTACGTGTAACTCAGAAAACCGAACTACTGAGTGAAGGGTATTCCACTCTGCAATGGAAGGTGGCGACATGTGTCCTTTTGTGTCTGTCATCTTTCAGTTAGCTTATAGCAACAAAAACAAATAGCAAAAAAAAAAAAAAAAACGTGAGTGGGAGTGAACCAGATAAGAGTAAAAGCAGGATATGCACAATGGTTGAAGGAATGAATAACAACAACAACAACAACAACACTGCAGCACAGCTCATCTGGTACGTACTGTACTTTTGGCTTGTGCCATCCAATAACTGTTTTAATAACAGAACATGTAGCTCTCACCTGGATTTTGTGTTGTTGGCAAACATCAGACAATAGAAAAAGTGAATCTATGTGGAAAGGGAGCTGGGTTGTATTGTTTGCATTCATTAAAGACTTAAAAAGCAACATTTTATCTCAAGTTTACAGACGCTGATTTAAACCTTCAACTTCAAGAGATTTTTTTTCTAACTATAATCCATAATGCAGATGTATTGCGTCCATTTTCTTCATGGAGAGCCCCTTTAAAAGCTCACATTCAAAGGAACTCACACTGTGGAAACAGCCATTTGTTCTTCGGCTATCTTTAGGATGTACATTAGCAAACAAAAATGGGTAAAACATCATCAAGGAAAACAAAACAAGGAATGAACTTTTCATGAATTCCCAAGGTGGAGTTCTTGGAAAATTAATAGCGTGATATTTTTGTAAACACATGCTCAATAACGCACGAGTACATGCTACTTACCAAGAGGACAGTGACAAATGTAGTCATTTGTCAGATCCATACACGACCCTCCATTTAGACAAGGCTGCGACCAGCAATCATTTACATTCTGAGAGCAGCTCCTTCCTGCAGAATAAAAGCAGAGAAATGAATAAACTCAGGGTAATGATACAGAGCATGTTTTGTAGAAACCCGTTTCTATTACAAAAGGGGTTTTAGCAACCAGCTGACCACTTTTGACTGCACGAACAAAGTGTGGTTGATTGGTTATATATCCACCATGTTGCTGCATTTAGGAATTAATGCATTAATGGTGCAACCGCAGTTTTCCTATCCTCGGGGCAAGAGTTGGGTATAGAATTGATTAATGATTTTACTACTAAAATGTAAAAGCTCTATCGGCTTTGGCCTCAGGCCATATTTCAGACCTCTTAGCTCTTTGTGAGCCAGAGGGCAGTGTTCTTCTATCTGCACCACTGGCAAGAGGGAAGGTAATTTCACAAGCACGACCCCATACACTGAATTAAAGCAGTTATTACTGACAGTTTAGGGTGGCCACTGACACTAATGCTATCTTAACTTTATTTTACTAATTAGATTCTTACAATGCTTTTGAGCCACAGGTGTAAATTTATGATATTTATTATAGACCGTTTTATTTAATTAAAAAGCTAAAACAAAATATATGGTCCTATGTTCATGTCATTGTTGAACAATCCATCCATAAATTGATAAATCAAGAATTTTGTATCACTATAGATTAATAAAAGGCCTTAGATTATTTGAAGGTATGCATATTGTAGATTGTGTTTCATTAATAATGAGAAACGTAAGAATTATGGTAGCCTAAAAATCCAGCCAGACCATGGCAGGAGATTTAAACTTTGCTCTGCAGGTCAGTTTAACCACTCTACTGTAGACTCAGCAGAGCTGCATTGGACAAAAACTACAAAGATGGCATCCGCTCAGGAATGGTGCTTGTTTGAAACAGCTTTGGCATCAACTCTGGACTATTTAGACTTGGGCTTTTTTTGACACTTGAGCAGACAGAGGTACTTAAGTCATTTAATTCAAAAAGAGATATATTTGCTTCTTCTTCAACGCTGTAGGGCAGAGTTCCCTGTTGACTGATTGCGGTAGTGATGAATATATCACGTTGTTCATTGCTCTGATTGGTCCAAGATGACCATTAGGGTAAAAAATTCCTGGGGGCAAATTAGTACTTTCAACCTCCAGTGAAATGAGAAGCACACCAGACTCTCTTTCATCAGTGGCAGCAAGTGAAGAGGTAAGTGTGTAAAACAACACATTTTTTAACCATTTGTAACAAATCAGTAAATGCATTTTGTCCTCACAGGCTCCTGTAGAAGGAAACATGGCATAGAATAAGGTGTCGCCTAGAGACTTAAACCTGCTCTCATGTATTTTAGACCGGATTTTTACGATTATGTTATGAAGCCGTCAATATTTTCCAACAACTGGGCATCATTTAACTCATTTCCAACAACATTAAAAACTACACATTGTCTCTTTAATACATTACAATACTATAAGCTCTCAATGATGATCATGTGCAAATAGTTTTTATTAAGAATTTGGTATGAATGATCAGCCACGTGAAATTTTACCTCATTATCTGTAAAGATGAACAGTTATGGCTGTTTTTGTGTTTGCAATGGTTGGTTAGCTAAATGGGATTGAGTTGTAAATGTACATCCAATTACAGTTTCAGTAAAAATAATACTGTAGTTCATATTTTGTGAACCCCACTGACAGATTAACATGCTCTCACACACACTGAGAAAAAAGCACATATTTGTGCATTTTGGCAGAAGAAATAACTAAATGCATGTAAGCACCAAATTTCCAATGCAAACAAGGAACAAATTATTTTAACTTTTATGTTTAAGATGGCTTTAAATATTTACATCCAACATTTCTTAATATTTTTATTTTAGTTTTACTGCTTGTCAAACATTAAAGGCTGATCCTTCAGTGACTGGCTGCACTAATAGCTGTAAAATGGAGTCGGATTCATATCAGCTGGTCTCATACCCTCAAACCCCAGGGGACAGTGGCACCGATAATCACTGATTAGGTCCTCACAGGTGGCTCCATTTGTGCACGGGAAGCTGTTGCACTCATTTGCTTCCACCTCACAGAGCGGGCCCTCAAACCCAGGCACGCAGCGGCAAGTGAAGTTATATTGCTGGTCCAGGCAAACACCGTGTTCAGAGCAGCGATTGTCAATGCAGAAATCAATGTCCCCCTCACAGTAGACCCCTGTGTGTCCACTGGGACAAAGGCAGCTGGCGACAGATTAAAGAGAATTTCTTAATAGTGGAGAGCAAGAAGGATTGTCTCAGCCCTAAAGGGGGAGCAGCAAATACCACAGCTTTTCAAATCATTGATATTTCTGGTACCAGAACGGCCTGAATACCAAACTAGAACACTCACCTATAACCACCAATCTCATCCACACAAGTGGCTCCATTTTGACACCAGTGCTGAATGCAGTCGTTGACATTTATACGGCAGTTCTGACCCGACCAACCACGTGCGCAGATGCAAGTGTAGCTGCTGGCACTGTTCAACACACAGCGCCCTCCATTGGCACACGGCTGTTGAAGAAATTAATCAGACATGTGTGTCATGAAATCAGAGATGCAAATGAAACAGCTTTCTGCTTCGTGTTAATGTCACATATTGGACTGAACCCATTCTGGTCAGAAATGCAACTATTCTTCTTAATACTTCTTGCTCCTAGCTCCCTGAAAATGAGCTTCATTACAAGCACACGGAACGCTCATGAATACTGATATACGTGTAATTATGAGGACTCGCTTCGTATTCCATGAAGCATCTACGTCGTGTCTAAGACCAAATCAATGGCCATTGAGAACTCCCAGGAGCTCTTCACAAAAACTCTAAATATGGAGCAAGATGGTGCATAAGAAAGGGACAAACCTGGTTTCTATAATCGTGTTTAATGCAGATCTGGTAGCATTTCTGCAAAAGAAGCTAACGTTACTCTCGCCAAACAGGGTGAGTTTCTCCACGTGTCATTTACACCAAACATGTTCTGTCCTTTCATTTTCTTTTGCAGTCACTCAATTAAGTCATTTACCAAGAAGCCAACACATGAAAACACACACACACACACACACTGCAAATATTCTGTACCAATTAACTGCATCGAAAAGCCACATCTCTCTTTTTGTAAATGGCTTCCACGAGAAATACAAGAAATTCTTACAATTTTATTTTACTTTCTTTTCTGAATTTATATTAAAAATCAAATGCAATTTTGTTAGTATTCTATAAAATTTATTAGTGTTTATAAAACCAAGGTTTCTAAAGCCAGTGCGAATACAACAAATACAGTACACACGGTTTTATCCACCAAAATATTAAATGTTTTCCACAATTATTGAAGAATTAACTCCACCTTTAATCCCTGCTAAAGCAACTTACCGCACAGTTTCAAAAGGGCTAATTAAAGTGTTTATAGATTACCTCTTGGATTTCTGATTAAATTTAATCTCTGTAGATTAAAGGATTTTCCACACGTTATGACACAAAAGAATATTTTTGAATAGTTTTTCATAGCTTGTAATGCACATAAGTCTCACTTTAGTCAGATCATTGCCATTTTTAAGAGGATGTATCGTTTTCTAAGAAGTTGTCATAATTTCTGAGAATCTTAATGAAACGTTTATGACCACTACCCTCATGGGCTCTGTCTTTAAAAAGGAGTTAGCTCTCTGTAGTGGAGTAAGCCACTTTACTCTAAGAGACCTAGTGGTAGTATCCACCCTGGGACTGGGAGATCAGGGTTCAAATCTGGTCGGGTCATGGCCTAGACCGTGAAAATGGGACCCAATGCCTCCCTGCTTTACACTCAGCTTTAAGGGGCTGGATTGGGGAGTTAAACCACCAAATAGTTTCCAAGTGTGGCCACAGCTGCAGCTCACCACTCCCCACAGGGATGGAAGATTAGCATCATACATTGGTGATCTTCTCAGTCCCTACACCCTAGGGCTGGTGGATATGGCTTAAAATCAATATCACAATATATTGAGGATTTCACCTCGATAACGATAAATGGACGATACCTACAGGTATGTGCAGAAACAAAAGTTGACCATTGGATGGGGCTGTCACATGTATTCGTTGAGTCACATTTTAATGTAACTCAAGGTGGTACAACTTCTTAAAAGGACGTGAACATCACCAACCTAAACACATCTTGTCATTTTTTTATTATCAAATTTATTGACATGGGAAAAATGTCGATAAGAGTCCGAAATTTTGATAACGATAATTTTTTTATTTATTGCCCAGCCGTACTACACCCCCAGCAGGTCCCTTTGGTCCAGTGACCAAAGCCTACTGGTTGTGCAGCGCACCAGTCTAAAGACCAAAGGTGACAGATCAGTAGACTGCAGAGCCAGGTATGTCAGCTACATTTTTTCCCAAGAGAGCGGCTCGCCAGTCTAAAGCTGCAAGTGGAATATTCTGACCACTGGGGGCGATAGGGGCTGGGTGGCCTTTCATTAACCCTGTAAAGGGTCATTTAAAAGTGATTTAAAAACATGAAAAAGTTGCAAAGTATCCCTTTAACATTAAAATGACAGCCAAAGAAAACTACATAAATAGATCATTGAATTTTTTCCAGGTTTATTTGGCTTACAACTTGGTGTAACTTAGTGTAACTTAATGTTTAATTGGACGTAATGCACCATTTTACCTACTTGGAGGTTTGGAGGACAGGGGACACGGCAGGTGTATTCAAGGCCCTTTGGAAGATCCAAACACTGAGTCTTCGTTGGACAAATGCTGTCCGGCAGGGCACAGGCATCTATGTCAAATTCACAATTCTTTCCTTTAAAACCTGCAAAACACGATTTAAAACATGTAATCTGACTGATGTTGTACTTTAAAGCAAAAATAGGTCAGAAATCAGCACCACTAACACATCTTTAATTCATGCTGATGCACCAGACCTGCTCTTCTTTATATTTAATAAACAAGGCCAAAACTGGTCCAGCTGTCGGTCGGCTGGAGGACTGGCCCAATTTTGAAGCACATCCACTCCACCACAGAGTAGCTCTGACTTTCTATTTCATTTGAACATCAATTTATCCTTCAATTAAATATTGAAACACCAGAGCTGAGCTTCTTTTCACAGTTTTGTCACCCTTTCACCTCCTTCTTCCTTCTGCTACTTTTCAATATAAATAGAATTTACTGATTTTTGCAAAAACTAAAGGGAAAAAAATATTAATTGATTTCCACTTAGTTTATTACTCAAAATACAAGATTTTCCCATGTTAAAACATACATTTTTGTGTACATAACAATTTCTCAGACCCTGTTGCCGCTGCTTGCCCTACTTGTTCCAAATTTCACATTCACAGACGGATGTCCCGACATTTTACTTAATCTGCTATTGTTATATATTCATTTTTCCATTAATTATAGAAAGCCGTCCCACTCTGGATGCGACAAAACAGACCAAATCATGACAATCCCACTTTCATGTTTCACAAACAAGATTGAGGTCTCACTCACCTTAACACTAGAACTCCCAGAGAGCTGCCAATTGGCTCCATCCCCCCCCGATCTACCAGAGAGCTGCCGTTTGGCACTGTTGTTTTCACCTAGCATTCTTAATCACTTGTGAACGGTTGCCTTTCCAACAGCATTCTGCTGACTCATCCTTTAGCAAAGGTTTGACTCATGATTTGGTTTATTAAAGGCCTAAATGCAGCAGCTTACAATACTGGACAACCAATCATGTCAAAGGTTATGCTAAGATCATCTTATGGTGAGAAAGAGACATTGAAACCTTTTTGGTCATTTTTTTTAAGCAATGTAAGTAATATTTTATTAGTAAAAGACCTTTGGTAATATGATTGAACAGAGATGTGTTCTCTGCATTTTAGCACAGTATATTCAAAACTGACTGAGTATCAGTCGCTATTGACTTTTTAAAATGACATCCGATATACGGATATTGCTGACTTGGTCTCGCACGACTGCAGAGTCACACGAGTGAACCCAATAATAGTAATAACTAAGTCAGCTAAATAAATACTTTCCACAGCTCACAGTTGGACTGGGAAAACAGTCATCCAACTCTTTTCACATGGGCTCTCAACAGTTTACTTTTTTATCAAACTTCACTAAAAATCAGTGTAGATGAGAGATATGAGTTCTAGCTTTTTTTAGGTACCATACGGGTCTGTGGCCACATCTAGTACAAGTTTACTCATGATGTTAAGGATTCATGATTGGGGACTAGAGCAGACTGGAGAGGCAGTTTTAAAGGGAGCTGAAGAACAAAACCAATGACTCAGAATAAACAGAAAAGGCAAAAGCTTCTGTGTAAAGTTTAGATATCTTCCAAGTTTAAAATAACAGATACTGCAAATGTTAACATTTGGTCAGAGGTCCAAAGAATAATGTAGCGGTTTCAAAATCACACGTTTTAAAGTTCTTATGCGAATGAAATGCATAATCTGTGATTCTGTGCAGGTAAATAATGCTGTGCACAGACAGATGCACTGAACAGGTGTAAAAGGGGTGTGAACTTGAAAAGCGTTGAGCCCTCTGGAGTTTCATGGGTCCAAATACGTGATGTGATGGGAGGTTTTCAAAACCAAAGAATGAGCAGACCACAAGTTAGTTTTTTCTGCAGATGGCGTACTTTTAAACTTACTACAAAATGTTTTTCACTAATATTATGTTTGCTTTTAAGATACAGACTGGGGGGTGTAATTAGCTTGAATCCTAACAGTATGTTTCATTATCAGTTGTTTTCCAGGGGGTCTTGGATTCTCCATTAGTTATTAGCAAGTTTTTGTTTTCTTTTTCACAGCAAACTATTCCTCCACTAATCTGCATTAAAAAGCAAACATGTTAAGTGAACTGGAAACGCCAAATTCCTTGTTGATTGGACTGTTTTTTCTCTGTTTGTGACTGAAATCATCCTCCTGCTCAAGGTTAGTCATGCACCCTGTATAAGTTGATGTAAGCATACCAATCTGTGTGTGCTGATAGAATTGGGCCTACTGAGCATGCCATTAAAGATCACACCTCTGGGACGACCTTGCAGAAAATCCGAGGATGAATGGGAAGTAGGAAATTTTAAAATGTAGACTCATAGCCCAAGTTTTTAATTTAAGAGTCTGAATCTGGATCTGAATTTTAAAAGTAAAACTTACTTGAGTATCATTAGTGGAACAATTGTCTTTTAATTTATTTATGCTCTTTAATGTTTCGGTTTATTAAGACATTAGCTGGGTATTTAGTTAAATGAGTTAGTAAATAACATCTATGCTAATTAGGTATGCTAAGCTATACATAATGCATTAATGACCTTGTTTGTGATTTCTATTAATTCACAATGCAAAAGTAACACATTGCCCAAAATGTATGATGAAAGCTGGGAGGGAATTTTGTAATTGCTGTCGTTACAGCAGTATTTCACAATGACATGCACAAAAGAGCATTTGGAGTAAAACATGGATCAATTAAGAAACCAACAAGAAAAAGTAAAAAAAAAATAAATAAATAAATAAATAAAAATAAATTATATATATATGTGTGTATGTATAGCAAATAAGATATTAGTGAGACTTCTGTAAATTCACTAATAAAGATCTCGACTTAACCTCCTGAAGCAGGATGTGTTACATTGCAGGATGCTGCTAGAAATAAACTACAATCACCTTTAGTTCTCACTCTGTACCAAAAATGCCACAGGGGCCCTGGATGAGGATCTTAGCTCAACTTAACTGCAGACCTGTTTAAAAGTCCCTCTATGCTTCCAGATGCCACAGCTAATATCACCTAAATGCTATAACAAAGCTCCAGTTTTGGACGTAGCTCAACATACCTGCAGGGCACTTGCATATGTATTCTCCAAGTAAGTCAGAGCATGTGCCGTTGTGCTGACAGGGGCTGGAGTTGCACTCGTTGATCTCAGTCTCACAGAGTGTTCCTTAAAAAAAAAATAAAAGGTTAAAATTGTATGCCATCAGCTGCACATTTCATCACAACGCTAGCATAGCAGCACCCTTGTTTAGCCAAACTTGCATTTTTGGAAAAGTAATGAAACTTCTAAGAGAATAATTTATCAGCCACATTAAATCATAAATTCAAAGAAAAAGAAACATTTTTCTTGAGGATTAAAATTAACAGCATGCATATTCAAACACCACTTAGCACTGATAAGTATCAATCAAAGACAAACTGCAAGTTTTCATTGCAAAGTTAGTGCCTTGACAGATGCTAGTGGTTAATAAAACAATATGTTTCAAACCAACACACAGATCCTTGATTCTTGGCTCAGTAGGCAGAAAGAATTGTTTAATAACTGGAAAGCCAGGAGTTCAATGCAAATGCAATATACGTCAGAGTGTTCCTGGGCAAACTACTAAACACCTTAAGGCTCTACGGGAGTTAGGTTATGGAAAATACTGTAGAGCAAGAACTCTATTTTAAGTCAACAAGGAAGAAAATGATCTGTATAAATGGTATTTTATTTCTGCATAAATAAGTGTGTATTAAAAATGACATCAGAAAATTCCCTCCTGAATGAAAACCTGACTTCTTTGGCTTGAGTAATGCATCCTGAGCTATGATCTGTGATGGAGTACAAGGGAGCTTCTGGGCAAAGCTCAAAATTAAATTGGCCCTTCCGTGCTGCATGGCTTTAAATTCCAAAGAAGAATTCCCAAGATGCTAGAAAATGATGAATTCTATCAGTCACTAAGAAGTGCCATGGCGTAAGAGACAATTTTCCATTACAGAAGTGGCAACGGATTTCAGCACAGGACAGAAGGGGAATAAAACCCTGTTCGTGTAGCGCTATGTAAGGGCTTATGTGATTGACAGCTGAGTGTGTGAGGACTCAAAGCCATGGTGTGAGGACGACTACTGACCAAAAGCTGAGTGCACTGGACAAAAAATAAATAAAATAAAAGTCAGATGCTGATTGTTCAAGCAATAAAAACATTCAGACAACCCAAACTAAATACACTTAGAATTAAAAACTCTTCAATACCTTTCTTTTGTATAAATTTACAGAGATGTTTGTTTCATTTATCTCAGTGACTCCACTTAAAAGGTGAAACCAATATATGAGATAAATTCATTATAAGCAAAGTGAGATATTTCGAGCCTTTATTTGTCATAGCTGTGATGATTATGGCTTACAGTTATTAAAACCCCACATTCAAAATCTCAAACAATTAGAATATTGTGAAAAGGTTCAAAGTTCTAGGCTCAAAGTGTCACACTCTAATCAGCTGATGAATCCAAAACACCTGCAAAGTTGAGCCTTTAAATGGTCTCTCAGCCTAGAATTAATTACTGAAATAAATGGACTTTTGCACCATATTCAGATTTATTTATTTCACCTGTATTTGTAAATATTTAGTTTGGCCATGACCCATAGACAGAGCTAAGTTGTGTAGTGGAATAAACAAGTGTGTTTCAAAATGTCTGCATGTAGTTAGACAGCACTAGGACCAATCAGAGCAATAACGTGACAAGTTTGTCGCTAGGGAAATCAGTCAATGGGGCAGTCTAACATATGCTGTCATTGACGAAGTAAAAGGAGTAGGAAATACATCTTTTTACGAAATATAAAGGACTTAAGTTGGTCTATCTGCTCATGTCTCAAATAAAAGTCAAAGTCTAAATAGTCCAAAGTTAATGCCAAAACTGAAATGAGCATTGCTCCTGACCAGTCCCAGTTATTGTAGTATTTCTCTGTCAGGACTCTGGGGCTAAGCCCATGAAATATCTCTACAAATATACGCCACATTAACTGGCCCAAATTAAAATTCCTCAACCCAATGGGAGAGCAAATCTTCCACTATTGCTACAGCTTGTCTGGATTTCTAGGCTAGTATTTTACTTAGGATTTACTAAAGAGTGAATGGGTGTTTCCTCAGCTAGAAGACTGCAGACTCGACCACCATCTACAGTAATTCTGTATGGAGTATGCTTTTTCTCTCCATTTGAATTTTATTTTTTTTTTATTTCACCTTTATTTAACCAGGCAAAATAGATTAGGAATGGACTTCTTATTTATAACTGTGGCTTGGCCAAAGGCAATGCCTTTTGAGTGAAAATGACAGAGGACTATACCATAAACCATAAAATAGTTTAAAGCAGCATAAATTAGAAAAAAAACATGAATACACACAAAAAAAAGAAGATAAAAGGAGATAAAAATAGCTATAAAATAGTTGGAAGTTGGTCTAAGTGAAAACAGTGGATATCTTTAAAATGCTCCGTGATCCCAGCTTGGAAAACTGCCTTTGCGTTCCTTCTGGGCATTCCAGTTTCTTACCACAGAGTAAAAACATGCATGTTAATTAATTGCCAACTAAATTGTCACTAGGTGAGTAGATTAATTTCTCACTTGTGTGGCCTTGTCTCACCCAGTCACTGCTGCAAACAGCCATCAGTTATTTGTGACCTTAACAAAAATAAGCAGTTAGAAAACTAATTAATATTGATTTAAAATTTAACAAATTTCCTCACAAGACAAGAATAACAGAAGAAACACACAGCACTAGACAGAGCCAGGACTGCTAACTAGCTCGGCCCTCATTCACATTAAATTTGAACCTCCCTACTCACTTGTGGTAGTAATGCACAGCAAAGGGGTTTCCTTTCAATCAAAGTACACATGTGAGCATTTTTTCATCCAACCTGAAAAAAATAACAAAAAAAAAAGACATTTGGCATAGTTCCATTTGTAAATGATGGCTCAGTGGAAACTGGCATGAGAACCAGGGAGGGATTTTTACATTAAGTACGCAATAAATATGTATAAAACTACACCCTAGAGACCATTTAATGCAATGTCAGCAATGCAGAACTGTCAAGTACACAGGTGGCAGAAACGGCCAATCACACAGAAAAGGTTTATTTACCTTGCTGACAGTTTTGTTTGCCGACTGCAAAACTTCCTCAGAGCGTCAGCTCAGGCCAACCCTGAAAGAAGGTTATAGTGTAATGTTCTTCAGCTATGTTCCAAGCTAACAGCTAATTAATGGTTTCCCACACTAGAGCCCTGCACGGGCCTAAAATCTGAGCCCGAGTCGAGCCCGGCCCGAGGGGGTGGGGCCTACGGCTGGGCGATATGACGATTTTAGACCGTTTTACGATCTACATATCTGACAGTCTGTCATTTTTGAGAGACCTTTTTATCACGATTCACAGCTCTGCTGTTGAATTTCTGCCTCTGAATGACACGCCTTTGTTTGACCCTTAACCAATCAGAGTGAGTCAAGGTAATACATTAGTGCCCCGCTTGTTTTCACCTGTGTGTGAACAAACATGGCTTCGGCCGCAGCTGAGAGCAACAGCGAGGTTTTAGTTCCGAAGAGGAACGCCTCGTCCATTATATGGAACTGGTTTGGTTTTTCACCAGATGACAAAGAGCAGCGAAACGTCATTTACAAGGAGAGCGTCAAGGCAAGTGATGGCAACACCACAAACTTGTTTAATCACTTGAAAAGAAGGCATCCCAAACAATACAATGAGAGCCAGCTGGCAGCTAAAGCTAAAAAGCCTGCGGCTGCAGCGGCAGCGGCTAGTGCTTCTTCCTGGCAGCAAACGCTAACATAAACACTCACAAAACTCACTCCTTACGACAGAGACAGCAGACGATGGAACAGCGTGACAGATGCAGTGACGTACCACTTGGTTAAATATTTGTGTCCCGTACAAACAGTAGGAGTGGGATTTAAGAACATGATAAAACATTGGATTCGCGCTACGAGTTTTCCAGCTGCAAGTATTTTTCGAACACCGCCATTCCACGCATGTACGCTGAATGCAAAGTGAGAGTTGCAGAAAATATTCAGAATGCGCAGTTTTTTGCTACCACAAGCGATCTCTGGTCCAGCCACACATCAGAGCCGTATTTGAGCTTAACTATCCACTACATGAGCAACTGGGAGCTACATAGTACTTTGAACAAGTTAATGTTTGCACAATACGTTTGCAATTGACATGTTTGCACTTTAAATATGTTTACGATTTTAATTTATGTTAAGTTACTTGAAAAACGAGAAAAACTGATTTTTGTAATTGTTTCTCTCAGGGCTTTTATCATCTCTGGTGAGTTTAAAATATAAGTGTGTTAGCACTGTGTTGATTATCCCTAATATGAATAAATGTTTATTTATTCAATGTTTCTCTTCTTTAATATGCAATTGAAGTTATGGTATTCATGGATAAAAAATCGTGATGAAATCGAAATCGTGATAAAATATTGGAAAAATCGTGATATTCTATTTTTGCCATATCGCCCAGCCCTAGTGGGGCCCCAGCCCGACCCGGCTCGAAAAGGTTTTCAGGATTCTCTGGCCCGACCCGAGCCCGAGCCAAACTTTTTTTTAACCAACTAAATGAAAACAAAGTGCGTCAATCCTGACCAATGTGTTAAAAGACGTGCAGGATCCGATCAATTTGTTTTTCCCTCATTTACCGTCATGGAGATAACGGCGCACTGGCTCTGGTGGTAATCAAGTTAAATTTGATCTCTTTCCAACAATTTTCACAAGAAAACAAAACAGTCAAAAGCAGGGCTTGTGTTGACCGGACAGTTCCCGTATTTGACCGTTTATTTTGACGGAGAAAGAATAGAAAGAATTACCCCGACGCATGCAGATGAACTGACATGTTATTCGTTACGCACATCGCAGATGTAGCTAAATCACCCAAGAAAAGATTCCCATCTGAACTGGACACTGCTCAGCGCAGCTCGCTGTCAGCGCATATGTGCGAGCTGAAGTTGTGGAGATTGGCTTGGAGCGCGTCGCAGAACCAGAGCGCATGCAGGAAGGTTCCTCCCACTGAAGCGAGTGTTTTCCAAACCCTGTCTCTCAGAGAGACTTGTCACTTAGAAAATGTTCCGATTATGAAACTTTGGCTGAATAGCGCTTGTTCCTGTCTCCAATGTGGCGACACATCCAG